CAGTGACTGAGAAGTCAGGTGACCGGGGGGGGGGGGTGTTCCATACTCTAAGTCTGCAGCCCTTGTCTCAAAACTGGGGAGGAAGCACCAAGAGTGATGGGAGGAATGTCTCCAATTCCACAGTAGGAAAGTAAAGAGTGCAGGCTTTGGGGTCAGAGAAGCCGGGCTTCAGATCCCACCTTTACCATCTGGAGCTGAATTTAACACTGAGATGAAACCCAGGCCGGGGGTTGCAATGAGGATTTAAAGAATGAATAGGTGTGGCATGGGTAGCCGGATGTCTGTAACAGTAAGCCTCCAGTGTATTCTAACAGTGGTCATTAGAATTTTAGTTATTGCATATTATAGCCTCCAAAGTACTGTTTCTAAAGAAAAAAGGCTTCTGAAATGACTGATAGTATGGTGCTAAGTAAAAAATAAAGTTCACAGAATGATTTTAATTATGCATACAGCTATTCTCACATGTGTTTCTGGGTAAGATGGTATTGTTAGGGCAGACATTTAATTTGCCTCCCACCCCACCAAGGTCCTCAGGGGATATTTTCAGGAAAACATAAAAATGAGGGAAATGTGGGTTTCATGCTCAAAGCTAGGCTGGTGTCATGGAGATGCCAGAATGTTGTGCCCTTGTGCTGCTGTGTGCCGACAGGGCTGTGTTGGAGCCCGAGGGCAAGCTGGACTCCTGATTCTCCTCCTAGGAAAGAGCAGCAATACAAACACAGGGACATGGTGGAAAGACAACTTTGTTCTAGCAAAAATGGGTAGGATGCGTTAAATAACGTGATCAAAAACTTTATGAAATAAAACATTAAAGCATTACCTGTGGGATACCAACAAGACAAACGTATTCATCCACAAAAACATTCAATTTCCAAAAGGTAGATTCCTAAAGCCCAGTACCGTTAGCTAGAATAAACAACCGCAATCTCTTACCCAACTCTCTAGAACATTCTTCTTGAAATGAAAGGAAGACTAGCAATATGACCATTTGGAAAATGACAACCAAAAGGGGAGATAAAATGATAGGAGTTTAAATTTAGAACAAAACCCACAACAAATCTACAGTAAAATATTTAACATCTTGAGGAAATGGATGTCTTTCTAGGAAAATCCAAATGAAGTTGAAAATAAAGAATGAGTCCAAGATTTCTGATTGGCCATCAGGTGGCTGATGTTGCCATTGCTGGGAATCTCGAGAGCTTGGGGGTCCAGGTTGGGAGAAATCTAAGGGACATCCTGGTGGATGCCTCCAGCCAACCGCTGGCTACACGAGGCTGAATCCCCAGCACATCATCTGGAACGGAGATGAAGATTTGTGGCCATCACACACAGCTCGACCTGGGATTCTTAGGGGAATGGCTGAAGTTGACCAGGAGAAGGTGTAGCAAGGCAGAAGATGGCCTCGTCAGGAACCTCGAAGAGCATCAACATCTACAAAACGGGCAAAGATACAATCCTGAAAGCAGGCTGGGATGCCCTGGCAAGAGAGTTAGGCAGAAAGCAGAGGAGGGGGAGTTCCGGAAGGGACCAATGATGGATGGAAATAGTTCCAGAAGGAGAGGGTGTGAGCAGTGTCCCAGGCTAATGTCAGATTAAAATAAGGATGGAAAGTTCCCTTCGGTTTGGTTAAGATGTTGTTGGTGACCTTGACAAGAACAATTTCAGTAAGTTTACTTTCAACTTTAAGCCAAGAGATATTCCTCATACTATGAGTTTTATATAGCACAGCCTGAAACATACAGAACTTTTCAATTTATTCTTCAAAACTCCCAAGTTGGGCAGAACAGTGTGCCTGATCCCAGTTATTCGTACGACACATGAATCCCTAATGACAGCAATGATTATGGGTACCCAAGGGGCTCAGCATGTGCCGGGCACTATTCTTAGGACCGTGACTGATTTAATCCTCACTCCAGTAATCACAAGAAAATGCCAACAAATTAAATTCATATTATACTAAGAATATTCTATGAACATCCAGGGGTTCATGTTTAATTGTGAAATATTGGAAGATTCCTTTAAAAATACAATATAAACTGGTCATAGGAGAAAATTCCCCCATTTGTAATTTTCTAAAATTCGAGCAAGTCCTGATAAAACACTCACTGAAGCTTGGTAAAGAGTATCCACCTCAAAGAACCAGCACCACACTTGGTGGTGAAATGTTGGTGTCTTTCCCATCTAGAGGGAAACAAGCAGGAATTATCTATTGTCCTTCTTTGCAGGTTTTGATTGAGATGAGAATGGGAGAAAGAGAGCTAAATGGGATAGACTTACCTATCAGAAGGAAGGACAGCCATCCTACAGGGAGATGTTGGGAAAGCAAAGACTAAGAGAAGGAAGAGGGCTGGGTCAGGGGAGCGGCTACAGAAGGATAGACAGCTCTGTTTGGCTAAGATCTTCCATACAGCAAGCACTGCACTGGTCCTTAATAAATTGTTTCAGTGATGTTGACAGCCAGCCATGAGAGGGACTTTAAATAGAAGCCTACAGAAGCCAGCCATGGAGGCAGAACTGAGACCCACATCTTACTTGAGTCTAAAGCTGATACTCTTAATGACTACACGTGGCCACAATCTACCCTCACACGCACTGCCTGCGCAGATCCATAAAGAGAGTTCCTAGATACTAGAGAAACTCTTAAAAAACATAATGCAGTAATAATCATATTCATGATGAAAACAGAAAACAGTGAGATATGTAGAAAACAAAATGAAAACCAGAAAACTCCACACCAGTGTCATGAACACTACACATTCTCCAGGGGGACCTCAGGGAGAAGATGGGGCATTCATATAAAATCAACTAATTGTTTTCTCTAGCTGTAGGTTCAATGCAACTGAATTTCAAAAAAAAAAAATTTCCTAAGAATTACGGGAATTGTATGTATGATTCACACATCACTTTACAGTGGGCCGCATTCTGAAATACGCATCGTTAGGCAATTTTGGTGGTTAAGTAAGCATTGCAAAACATGCTCACACAAACGCAGGCAGTCCAGCCCTCCACACCTAGGCTGTGTGTATATACTATTGTACATGGGGCCTCTGATTGATTGAACATTGTTATGTGGTTTCTGAGCATGAGCCTGTGTGTGTGTGTGTGTGTGTGTGTGTTTAATAGATCCTGCTGCAGTCAGGATGTCAGGGTGGTCTCTCTGTACGTAATGTGATAATGTAGCATGATGACAAAGTGTTAAAAATCTTAATATATAGTAACATATTTTTTACAAGTCAGAAGACCTATTCCCAATAGAAAAGAGTGCAGAAAGTATTAAGACATCCAAAAGAGCAAAATTAAAATGATCTGCAAATATAAGAAAATATTCATTGACCTCAGTGGGGAATGAAAAAGCCTAAGTTGAAATGACTGTATGTGTTGCTGGAGGAAGCGTGAATTCATATGTCCTTCTGAGGAGTGATTGCACAGTATGTGTGCAAGGCCTTAAATATCAATCATGATTTTTGGTCCAGTAATTCTAATTCTTGGCATTTCCCAATTGAAGTAATTAAAGTTATGCACAAAAGATAATTATTACTCTGATTTTTATAATAGTGAGAAATTAGGATCACATTAAATACCCAACATTAGGAAGTCATTTAAATAAATTATAGAACATGTCATAGAAAAATATGCAAGGATTTTAAATAATGCTATAAAAAGAATATGTAATAACCTGGAGGAAGTTTATGGTTGTACATTATTGTTAAATGGAATGAAGTAGGTTATATAGCAGTGTGAATAGTATAGCTGAATAATTTTAAGTGTGTGTGTGTGTGTGTTTAAATCTGGAAGGATATGAGTAAAAATGTTCATCCTGATCATCTCTTAAACGGTGGGTTAATGGACAATTTTATTTTTACTATATGTTTAAAATTGTTCATGATTTCTTTTAAAAAAGTATAGTTTTGATAGAAAAATAGCAACAGATGTTCATAAAACACATATGCAAATAGAAAGATTAAAGAAACACACCTTCTTGTGTTCATTGTTGTTTGACAGGCATGCAGGCAATTATTATTTTATTCTTTGTGTCTTTTTCTTTGATCAAGCATTAATTTTAAAGCCATAAAATTTGAACAAAAAACTTTAAAAATAAAGGAAGGGAGGATGAAGGAGAAAGAATAAAGGAATTAACTCTGAAAACAATGCTTTCCAGGGGCTGGGTTGTGGCTCAGCAGTAGAGCGTTCACCTAGCACGTGCGAGGCCCTGGGTTCAATCCTCAGCACCACATAAAATAACACATAAATAAAATAAAGGTATTATGTCCAACTACAACTAAAAACTAAATATTTTTTAAAAATGCTTTACAGTAGGGAAAGTGGTGAAGTGTATCATTCATTCACTCACTCGTTTTATAATGACTCATACTCCGTGCGAACCAGGCTGTTCTCAGTGCTGGGACCACAGAGTGGAACAGAATGAGCTCTGTTCCCCTGGACCTTATTGTGTAGTGAGGGAGCCTGGTGTTTAAAAAAAATGTATGGATAACTAAATATAATTGCAAATTGTGAAAGTGCGTTTTTCATAAGAACAAAGTTATGAGGACAAGATCATAGAAGGTTTATGTATGTAGGAATCTAAATATTTAAGAGACTGATTAAGAAAACCTGATACTTAGAAGAATAAATAGATGGAAAGGCATACTTGGGAAAGAGAAGAGAGGAAGAAGAGAAGGGAAATAGAATAAAGGTAGTTTATCACCTTCACAAGAAATTGCAATACGTTTGGTTGTTGAATATTTTGATATTTGAGAGTGAGAAGGCAGAAATGGCAAGATGATTATAATAATCCTGAAATCTTGAAATGTTATTCTAATGGGAAAACATAAAATTACTATGAATTCTAAATTTATGTGTGAATTAACTGATGTCAGTGGACCCTTAAATGGTTGCATCAACTCTTAGACAGGATCAGAGCCTTTTTCTTACCTGTGGAAGACTTTCTCGCTTGCTTTGGGGCCTGGACAGCAGACTCAAAGAGGATTTTTGTCTTTCAGCACTAAATGAACCCACCATAGACTATGGCTTCCAGAGGCTGCAGAAAGTCATCCCCAGGCATCCTGGAGATCCTGAGAGATTAGCTAAGGTAAAAATGCTTTGGAAATTGATGTATGAAAACCTTCTGTACAGTTTCAGCAAGTTTTGTCAGATCCAGCCATTTAAGTCCCATTAAAATTAATTAGGCCTTGCAATTAGCTAAGCTTCAGATATTAGATGAACATAAAATTCCTACTAAGATGAAATATATTCTGTTTAATCTCTGAGGATATATGAAATATGAAGATTTGGGCCTATAAAACAGATATGCTACAAGAATACTCGCTTTATAAAACACTGCCAACTTCACAAAAATAAATATTTGCATAATTGCTTAAAAGTTTAAGCTTCCACTTGTTTGTATTTAAATGATTTTATTTGCCTGTAATTGCAGGTGCCCATCAATTCACAATCAAGTATTCATTGATGGCCAATTGTGTGCATAAGAACTTAATGAAGATAAAAGTGTCTCCATACAAAACTTCTGTGAAATGCATCATTTTTAAATGAACTTACTTATGGAAACTACATTTTACATCTGGCCCATGATGTTAGCTTTCTTCGTTTAAAAAATACACCAACTTATTAGTTGTCATTCAACTAATGAGAAACTATTAAATTTTTGCCTTTATATTTGTCTTTTAAACACACACATTATGAAATGCCATGTTCTCTATTCTGTACTGTGAGTAAAACTCAAGCACTAGTTGCTTCTATTTTGCACCTTTATTTTCCTTCTGGAAAAATCCCCAGCCCCACCATTAAATTAGATGATATCTGGAAAGTAGGTTAATAGCAATTTAAAAGGCTGTAAAGAACAGGAGGTGGAAAAGACAAAATGAGAGGACAGGGATTCATGATTACTAATTCTCTCTGGTTAAACTGAACAGGGGGGAATATTATTGAAAGAATTCATCTTTATTAGGAGAGAATTTTGCAGAAGGCACTGCTAAGATAATTTCAGTACTTCGGACAACTCCTTGGCAGGCTGCTAAACTCAGGTCCATCAATCATCTCAAGAATGTTTGGTTAATTAGGTTACCAGACTTTTCCGTACAGTAGTCTGCAAGAAGTTTCTAATAGAATTCCCATGACGTCAATTTTAACCAACTCCACCCTCAATGTGTGGTTGATTGTGCTTTGTTGGGGTAGCACGACCTTTAATGGAGCCATTTTATAGTGGTGAATTTCATGCAGGTCCCTATTTATAATCTATGATTATATTCAACCTCTTGGCTAATTATTTACATTTGGGGGGAATGTGTGGACTTTTTATTTTTATTTGTAATTTTCTTTTCTTTTTTTTGCCATGTGGGGTTTTGCTCTTGATGGTACCCCATGGTGTTAGTGACCAAAATGCCTTACATAAACCATTTAAAGGAAGAAAGATTTACTTTGGCTCAGGGTTAACTGGTTCCATTGCTCTGAGCCTGAGGTGAGGCAGAAGATCATGGCAGAAGGCTGTGGTGGAGGAAAGCTGCTCACGGGGAAGCAGGGAGAGGGAGAGAGGGAGAGAGAGAGACAGACAGACAGACAGACACACAGAGAGAAGAAGGGGTAGGTTCACGGCATGCTCCAGTGACGGGCTTCCTCGAACCAGGTCCCACCACCTGACGTTTCCGCCATCTTCCACTAATGTCATCAAATTATTAATCCATTAATGGATTGATTAATCACTGATGAAGTTCAGAGCCCTCCTGCCCAAACTCTTCCCTAAAACCTGCCTCTGAATATTGTCGAATTTAGGGACCAAGACTTCAACACAGGGACCTTTGGGGGAGACTTTAGATACAAACCCTAACACCCAGCCTTTCTTTTCTTTTCCAGGAAATGCTGTTGAAAAGAGCTGCAGATCTAGTGGAGGCCCTCTACGGCACGCCCCACAATAACCAGGTGAGTAGCCTACAGCTTCTGCTCTGTCGAGCTTGACTCTCTGCTACACCAAATGCTCACCCTGACCTGCCGTTTTGCAGGACATCATTCTGAAGCGAGCTGCAGACATTGCCGAAGCTCTCTACAGTGTCCCCCGGAATCCCAGCCAGATCCCAGCTCTCTCCAGCTCCCCAGCTCACAGCGGCATGATGGGAATCAATTCTTATGGCAGCCAGCTTGGGGTCAGCATCTCAGAGTCCACACAAGGGAATAACCAAGGTACCAGCTTTCTCAGAGTCAGAATCCAAATATGTCTTCTATGTTTAAAAGGTTGGTTCTGCTGGAGTAGAAGGAGGTAGAGCTTGAGTCCTGAACTATTCTTCAGTGTGGCCCCAGATAAGCAGAACTAACATACACTGGATTATTTCAAAAATTTAGGTGGTATACTGTTAGATTCTGAGCTTTTATGTACCAGGTAGAATCCCTTTGCCTGGAAATATTTAAGAAGATTGACTACTATAAATATAGAATGATTTAGGCATATAGAAATGAGGTTTACAGATATTGATTGAATACCATTTACACTTCTGCTATTATGATAATCAGGTGGAATAATGAAAAGAGGCTGATTATCACCATTATCATTTATTATGCCCAACTCTCTTTTTGGTAACCAAGAGTGAATGAGTTGGTTTTGTTGGGTAACTTCTGCAGTGCTTTACCTTAAATACCTACAAACTTATTGTCAACTATACTTTTATGTGCAAAGTACATCAGGTAAAGACTTTTTCAGTGAAGTTGGTTTGATTATTAAAAGGCTAAACTATCATAAATTATTTTTTTAAGAGTAATTGTCCCTAATGACACCTGTAAGCTGGAGAGTTTTATTTCTAATTTTATTCATCCATTGGAAGAAAATGCCTCATTCTTTTGCCCAGAGTGAATTCTTAGGAAAAGAGGAGATAGAAGATAGTAGTTCTTCTTTTTCTTTTTTTCTTTTTTAGACATGGGACTCATGGACTAGGTATCAATTTTTATTCTTTCATTTGGTGAAAAATTTGGGTTGTTTTCTAGATAGTTTGAGACTGTTATCCTAAGTGTTTCATTTCAAAATAGGCTGAGTGATGTCTCTGTGCCGGGGCTTCAGAAGCATAGGGAAGACTCAGTGCCCCTCCCCGCTTCCCTCTCACGGATGGAATGTGCCACATTTAGTTGCTGATGTCTCAGAGTCCTGTGGCCAAAAACAGCCCGTTTGGATGAATGCATCAATACTTGTTGAATGAACATGATCCCTAACCCCACATAGGCCATGGTAACCACCTTGAGCTAACCTTGCTGGAACCATGTGCTGCAGAATACAAATGGCCCCATATGTGTTATTAGGGTGCCTTTCTCCCACCTCCAAAATATGCTATGGTGTATTAAATTGAGAAACAGTAGGTTAGCAAATTTTCTAAATTATTTATTCTCTAGGCTTTCTATATATGAATCCTCAAGATATGGTCATAGCACATACATCTGCCCAACTCGAACCCCAAATGCTCTTCTCAGTGATACCAATTCACATCTCCTCAGACTGTGGTGCCTTAGGAAATGCTCATGTCTTAGGACTCCCACAGCTCCTCAACAGGGGCTGGAGATGCCAGCTGCAGATCTGAAAAAAGAAGGAGGGGGTAAGAGGGGCATGGACTTTTGTAGGATGGGGAAGAGATGGAGGGATAAGAGGACGAGGACTTGGTTAACCGGTACCAAAACCCAGATAGAAGAGAGGAATAAGTTCTAGTATAAAACAGTTGGGTGACTAGAGTTAACACAGGTTTATTGTGTGTTTCAAAATAGCTGGAAGAAAGGATTTTGAATGCTTCTGACACAAATAAATGATAACTATTATGCCAGTTACCCTGATGTGGTCATTGTACATTATATGATATGTCAAAATGTCACACTGTCCCTTGTGATATGTACAGTCATATGTGAATTCAAAAAGAAGAGCTGAAAATAAACTTCCACTTCCCCCTGCTGCCCAGGAGCACCTTGGTGACAGTCTGTGGCCCGGGGCCATCGTGGACCTGTGCTGGCCACGCTGGGCGCTACTGTGTAGACTGGTTGATTTACCTGGCCTCTTCCTTTGTTGTCAAGGATACATCCGCAACACAAGCAGCATCTCCCCGAGGGGATACTCCTCCAGCTCCACGCCTCAGCAGTCCAACTACAGTACCTCCAGTAACAGTATGAATGGCTACAGCAACGTCCCCATGGCCAACCTGGGCGTCCCGGGATCTCCAGGATTTCTGAATGGCTCACCCACAGGCTCCCCGTATGGAAGTAAGTCCCCTCGTCATCCGTCCTTCTCTCTGGGCCTCTCTGGCTCGGTGTTTGACTGGGCCGTCTTTGGGGGGAAGGCTGTACCCTTCCATCTGACTGTCTCAGGGGGGAGTCGCCCCACTTCCTGATGAAATGTCCTGCTCGCCTTTGGTTTCCCTTAGCTGGACTATGACCAGCTGGGTCACTCCAGGCCTTCTGGGGAAAGAAAGAGGCGAAACAATTACAGAGACCGCGTCTGTGTGACGTAGGTCCACAGGAAGGAGGAATTAAGAGTCCATTTCAGTTAGCAATATGCGCCTTCCTCATTAGTCACTTTGAGAGCCAATATTTATATCTCATCTTCAGGAGAATTTTCTAGGTGGATGTTATCTCCGTATGATAGGTAAGGAATTGGAGTGCCCAGCAGTTAGCCTGCTTACTCAAGATCACACAGCTAGGGTGCAGCAGGGCAATAATTGGGGCGTGGGATCCATGGTTTCAAGTTATTTTGTCACATGGTGCTCTGCTTTTCCTGTGTGAAGTGTCTCTTCCTCCATGAGACACCAGAGAGGTGCAAGTTGACTGTGGGCAACAGTGTGGTGTATTGAGACAGAACCTCTTAATCTTAATCTAGGGTCTGGCAGCGAAGCCGACCCTCTGGGAAGTTGTGAAAACTCATTGGGTTGCTTTGGGAGCTAAGTTGGGACCTTGCACAATGGTCCCAGGGGCCTGAGAGGGTATGTTTTTCAAACCTACTTAGGGAATACATTAGGCCAGGGCCACGCGGACGTGGAGAGTCTGAGTGATTGACGTGCCGGGGGTTGTCGCAAGCCCAGTAGCTCACCCTCTTTTCACCCAGAATGAATGGCTCCCTGGTGCCAGGAACAGGGACGTGTCAAGGGCAGAGCACAGCCATGTCCACCACAGCTCAGGAGGCGGCACCTCTCGGGGCTGCCTCTTGCAGCCTCTGGGCCTTTGGTTCCCAGGGGACACTCATGAGTTATTTCTGGATTGTGTGTTCCGTCCATGCACACGATACTCTACGCTGCCTAACGAGGACAGAGCACCCAGCAGCAGAGGGTGGCAGAGGTCACTTCTTTTAGCACAGCTAAATTTTTGTTACCGCAGAGGCAGGAGTTCCAGGTTGTGTCTCGTGAGATGGCCGAGATTTATTAGATTATCTAAGCCATTGGAGTATGGATGGATTGGTTTCCTTACTTATTGGGACCTTACCTTGTTCCCCAAGTGTTTGGGGGGAATCATAATAATCAAATTGATAAAAGTAGAAACTGATAAGAAACTAAGATAGAGCTGGAGCTGGAAATGTAGCTCAGTGGCAAAGTATGCGCAAGACCCTGCGTTCAGTCCTCAGTGCCACAAAAAAGAAAAAATAAAGAAAAGAAAAAGAAACTGAGATAAAAGAAAAAAAGAATAAGTTCAGCAAAATTAGATAACTCCAAGGGCCAGCATCAATGGCCTATAGTCCATGCAAGGGAACCATTAATTTGGTTCTGAATTTACAAAATACTAAAGTGCAGAGAGGAATACTATTTGTAGAAGCTTTTGTGTCCACACATATTTTTTTTAATATTTTAGTTGGACATAATACCATTATTTATTTTTATGTGGTGCTGGGGATGGAACCCAGGACCTTGCACGTGCTGGGTGACCTCTCTACCACTGAGCCACAACCCCAATTTGTGTTATCAAGTTGAACCACACAAAATTCCTTCCATGTTTGATCTCAAAATGGAAATTCCATATGGTTCGATCATTCATGTATGCATTAGGGTGAGCCACACGAAGTAGTTGTTTTTGTGGATAAAAATGGTCAGCTAACAATGCAGGGCGTAGTGTGGCGGTGGGCAGGCAGTGGGAAGGAGACAGGAGGGGCAGGGAGGGTAGAGAACAGATGAAGGAAAATGCCCGGAGATGGGGGGGCTCGTTGCATGATGCTCCTCAATATAATTTACCTGGGAGGGAGGAATTCCTCCCACCCCAGCAAGTGGCTTCATGGTTACTCAAGACCCCTGCTACAGGAAGAATAATGACACCCCAAACCTTTAAAGCACCTGCTAAAACAAGTCACCATACACAAAAGAGGGAAAAGAGAAAGAGAAGCTGCCTTGCCCAGTGGGATCAGGGAAGGCCATAGCGGGCCACCTCCCAGCACCAAGGGCACTAGAGTGATCATTTGCACCTTCGTATCTGGAGAAAGGGTCTCCAGGAGTTGCAGACTGGGAGTGGGATTCCAAATAGTGAATTCGTTACAATCAAATTCCAAATTCCTCTACTGCAAAAATATCGAATGCCCACTGGAGTTCATCACAGCAGCACCTGCCTTGAGAGGTCTTCCCCTCTCTGCGAAAGAGGGAGAAAAAAAAAAAAACCCCAGGGAAAACATTTCGTCAATTCAGTTGCTTGTGTCTGAAAACACGATCCTATGATTTCTCATTTAATGTTTTTAAACAAGCCTGATGCCCGATGTGGCTGGACCATGCTGTGGGGCAGTCACTTGCCAGAGACATTAAAAAAGAAATGGCATCAAGCCTCTTGGTCAAGTTCGACTTGCGTTACAGCCGGTGCAGAGAATCAGACTCAGAACTCTGCCTCCTTCCTGCGTTTGCCTTCACACTACTTCAAAAATGGCCAAACAGATGTTTTTTCAATTTTACACACAAACTTCACTTCCTGGCGGTAGCAGTGTGTGCCAAGTTCCAGCTCAGTGGAAGTTTTTATGGCTGAATTCGAAACCCCTGACAATAGGGGGTTATAATGAAATGCTGACAGACCCCTTAGCGCCAGCAAACTCAATGGCTCGATGCAAAGGAGGCTCTGTGCCCGGGGGGGTTCCAGCTGAGGCCCTGCAAGTCAATCAATCCTTGGGAGAAGAAAAGTAGTTTTTCCCGAACTCTCCACATTCACATGGATTTCTGGGCCAGACCTGCTTGCCTTTAGTTTGGCCTCTCTCCATAGAGAGAGAGAGAGAGATGTCCGGAGAAATTCTCTCTTGGAAGTATGTGTGATCAACTTTCCTAAAATGGTAGGTCTGGTGTCCCCAAAGATTGATTTACTTAGCAAGTCTGCAACACCCAGGGGACCATTTCTTCCAAAGCAGAATAGCCACTAAGCCAATCCAAAGTGTGGGACAGAATCCACCCAGGCAGGAGTCCAACCTGTCCTCAGAGATTCCTACCTCACTGAAAGCCCTACACTGTGCCCTAGGCTTCAATATTTTTTATATTATCAGAAATAAATATTAAGACATTTTTTTCTGCCATAAAATATTAAATGTTGAACATATGCAGATAGTTTTTAAAAGAAAGCATACTTTCACCCCAAGAAAAGACCTCTTTTAATATTTTGATGTGTTTCTATCATGTTTCTTTAGAAAAGAAGAAAAAATCCTATTACAACAGTAATGTTCTCATTGTAGACATTTCGAAAAGCTCATAAAGATGAAGAGAAGAAAAGCAAAACCACATCTCCATTTCTATGCAGGGATACCATTGTTAACTTTTAAAGTCCACCTTCCCAGTTGTGGACAGACACATTTTGAAAATTGAAGTGTTTGCTCCCATGCATGACTAATGAGATTCTGCCATCCCATCAATGGAAGGAGGCAGGCGAAAGGTGGCCAAATCACCAAAGTCACTCATACGGAGTTGGCCTTCATAAAATCAGTCAGGAATGCAGACCTCGGTCCTGAGAATGGAGTACAAATATTAGAAGTGATGTTTGCTTTAAAAAAGTTTTATGATCATTATGTTCTTCTTGGGAATTTGAGGTTTTAGTACTCCATTTCTCTCTCTTTTTTTTTTCTTTCTTTTGTATCAAAAGAGGTTAACAGACAGTTTTTGTGTGAAAGCAGTAAGGTCTTAAATCAAAGAAGAAAATTACCATCATTCAGGAAAGCTATTACTAATCCCTACTGCAAAGGACTATACTACTTCTTATCTCTGAAACAGAGATTTTCCATTTTAAAGTTTCAGTAGCTTTAACTAGTTTCACCTACATCAGAAATAATACCTGTTCATTGTAGAAATTGAGAATAGGGACAAGTAAAAAGGAATGTTTTAAGAATATTCCCAATCTTGTCAGCTGGAGACACTATCATTAAAACTGGATGGACATCATATCCCTCTAGACTTTTGCAATACTTTTTAAAAAAATAACAGTGGGTTTGCTGTATATGTTGTTATAATTCACTTTTCTCTTTTCTTTTTTATTATAATCTGTTAAATATTCTTCACCAGCATTAGTCTTAAAGTTTGCATTCTGAAGCATGGACTTCAAATAATTTACCCTACTGTGGGTCACTTATTTAAGTTATCTTCCAATTTTTCATTATAATAAAAATGCCCTGGGATCTATTTTTTTTTGGCACATTCGTGATTATCTCCTTGGGATTCATTTCTAGAGATTAAATTAGTGGGTCAAAGGATGTGCACATTTGAAAATACTTTGCTAAGTATTGCCAAAGTCCCTTCAGAGAGGTTTCTCCCCTCAGAAAAGAGAAAGTGTATGCTTCCCTGCCCTGTTAATTTTTTCTTAATCTTTATCCACTTAATAAGTGGAAAATAACATCTCGTTACTGTTTTAATAAGCATTTTATTACTAATCCATCTCAGTGCTTCCGTACGGCCCTCCTGGTCTTTTTCATTCTCCTTTTTTGTGTTTTCTGCCCACTTTTCTATTAAGGTGTTTTTCTTTTTCTAAGTAATTCATAAAAAACGTATTAACTATCAAGGACATGAATACTTTTTTTGTCTTTTGCTTTGTGTGTGTGTGTGTGTGTGTGTGTGTGTTTACAGACATTTTTCATTATGTGGCAAATCTAGCTTGTGAACTCTGGAGTTGAAAAGATATGCAAATTATATATAACCCTCCTAATTTTTCTAGCATTTTTGTGATTTTATTTTTACGAACACCTCTGATTGCCTTAGATTGTTGTTGAGCAAGAGGAAGTACTCTAAACTTGGTCTCCCAATGTTCAGTATTTCCATGCTTTCATTTCCCAACTATGTACTATGAAACGTCACCTGTATGAAGTTATAAAATCTAATACACAGCCATGCCTGTTTCTAGACTCTATTTTGCCCCAACTGTTGGTCTACCTTTCTTTGTTAGTATAACACTGACACAACTGATGTAGATTCATCACAGTTTTGAATATCTAAGGTCAGTATTCTCCTTCCTACTTAACAAAATTTTCTGAAAACTTAGCGAAACTTTCTGACTCTTACAATGTTGTTGTTGAAACATATCAGCATAGAAATCGTGCTTACTGAAATATAAAAAGTAAATTTCCTTTTAGGATTTTCTGTTATAGTTCTATTAAATTTTAAATTAATTTGGATGGTCTTTGGCATTTTTACAAAAGTTTTATAAAAAGTATTTAAAATGTCCTGTGCTTATTCAACTCTGCAACAGTTATCTAAGTCATTTAGAAAAGTGTGTGGTATATTCTCTTCCACTGAGAGGCAAACATATATGAGGTAATCACATTTTAGGCTGAGATCGGTTACGAGGTAAAAAGCATTTGTAAAAATGAGACGAGTGCTGGGTGGAAGTGGGATGGAGTATATGTAAATACCCAGCTCTTGTGGAAGGAAACTGCTCTGTCTCAGCGAAAGAAAGGAGCTTCCGCTATTGAGGATGCAGAAACCAAGGTGCCATTTTGGTGCATCAGGCACGCTGACTGCAGACAGAATTGGGGCCTCCTGAGCCCCAGCTTTTCTTTGGCCTCTACTTCCGCATCTTAAAGAAAGAGGATAATTGTGGGGTTTTTTTTGTTGTTGTTGTTGTTTGTTTGTTTGTTTTTCTATTTTATTGATGCTAAACCCAAGGAGCTCTTGCTTGGAATTATGACTAATACCTACTCCCATGCTTAATCCAACATCCTCTCTTATGCATTTACATTGTCAAGTATTAGGTGAGCTTCTTCCAGAACTCTGTTATCCTGACAAGTTTTTTTCTTTTTATTTCTATTATTTGAAAAAAGACAGATAGGGCTGGGGATATAGCTCAGTTGGTAGAGTGCTTGCTAGAGCACTTGCCTTGCATGCACAAGGCCCTGGGTTCATTCCCCAGTACCACATAAAATAAAATAAAATAAAATAAAAAGATATACTCAGATACTTCCTTCTCCATAGCTCTAAATCAGGATTACCTAAGGATAAGAGATTTTTAGAGAAAGCTCTTTTTTTAAAAAAAAATAAGTTTAATTTAAAATTGTAGAAGAAACCTCTAGCATGGTGTCTGCTATAAAAGACACCATGCTAGAGGTTTCTTCTACAATTGTTTTAAATATGCAATTGAGTGAATGTAGTATGAAGTATAATTTATAGAGAGGGAAAATGGGGGTAGAATCTACCACCAGATGTCAAAATGTTTGACCTTCAAGTCACCTTGCTTTTTTTTTTTTAACCCTTGTGAACTCTACCCCTTTTTTAGCAACTGGAACATAGTAAGTAAAAATATCTTCTTGTATGGCGCAAATTGGTGGAGTATCTGACATTAAGAGGTGGGTACTTCACGGTGTAAATTGCCTTTCTTTTTCTTTGAAATCATAACTCTTAGCTTTCGGCTTCCCTTGAGTCATTTTAATGTTAATATTGTTAATATTGGTGTTTTTTTCTAAACTTTATGTCAGGGGAGGCTGACTCGAAGCCTTATTTCCCAGGAGAGCCACGAGTCCAGGGAGAGAGAGAGGCAATCTTCTAAATGTTAATAAACTCTTACATGTAATGAGGAAGTAGCCCACAGAGATGGCACTCTCAAGAAGACGTGAACCCCAACATCTAACCCCTGGGGCCCTGGGAGTGGCCAGGGAGGCATAGCTCTCAGACCAGGCTCCTTTTGGAGGAGAAGGAGAGGTCTCCAAGGCTGGGTAGATTTGATGATTTTTTTTAGGTGTGGTGGTCTTAGTCTTCTCTTGCCAAGTTTCTGTTCATGAATGACAAGCTGTCACAACGTCGTCTCCTGTGACATCTTCTGTGTTAGTCAGCTTTTGCGTGGCCATGACCGATAAACCTGAAAATGTAGAGGAGGAAAGATTTATTTTGGCCCCTGGTTTCCGAGGTACAGAACACGGTCAGCCGGTTGCATTGCTCTCAGCCTGAGGTGAGGCAGATCATCAAGGCCCACGGGTGTGGTGGAGGAGAGCAGCTCAAGACATGGCAACCAGGAAGCAGAGAGAGCTGGAAAAGATATAAACCCCAAAGGCCTGCCCCCAGTGACCCACTTCCTGCAGCCACACCCTACCTCCTACATTAAACCATATCAGTGGATTGATGCTTTGAGTAGGTCACAGCTCGTATAATCTAATAATTTCACCTCTGAAAATTCTTGCTTTGTTTCACACACGAGCTTTTGGGGGACACCTCCTCTCTAAACCATGACACCCTCCCTCACCCCCAACACAGAAAGCACCTGCCTTCTGCATCTCAGTATGATCGTGTGTGTCCCTTTAACAGGATCATGACCATCGTGGTCGTTACATGTGGCTGTTCCTCTCACTGGCTGCGGGGGAGTGTTGTCACATTCAACTTGTTTTTTAATCCTTGGAATCCAGAACAATGCCTGGAAGTTCATAATTTCTCAACTAGAGTGTGCAGGATGAGTGTACGGAAGGACTCACTCTCTAGACGAGTCTTTCTAACGAGGGTTGTGCGTTTGCTTCCAGTCATGTCATCGAGTCCCACCGTGGGATCCTCCAGCACGTCCTCCATCCTACCATTTTCCTCTTCAGTTTTTCCTGCTGTCAAACAGAAGAGTGCCTTTGCCCCTGTCATCAGGCCCCAAGGCTCCCCTTCGCCCGCCTGCTCCAGTGGCAATGGAAATGGATTCAGAGGTGAGTGAGGGTTCGGCTTTAGGTGTGTGCACCACACAGGTGCCGCCATGCCTGAAAGCGAGAGCAAACCGCACGACATCATTCCTAGCTCCAGCTGTTCACCTGTAGAGAGGTGCTTTGGTGTTTTCATCACGAGTCATGAACGGCTTGTGCAACTGCGCTGGTACTCCAGGTAAAAGCAAGGTGTGGGTGGTGGGTGGAAGGCAGAGAAGTCAGCAAACTGCAGGTTGCTCAGTTCACTGAGAACCACACCTATAATCCAAGGGGGTCTGGAATCTCTAGCACTACTGTCCGTGAGCTGTTGCAGTGTGTCTGGAAGGTGCCTGGTTACGCCACCCCGCCTGATGCCATGCAGGGATTGCGCCTTCCTAAGTGGCTTGCCATCTGCAGCGCACAGATCTTCTAGCGGCACACGTGGAAGGGTCCATCAGGAACAACCAGGAAGCTCCGGGAATGCTGGTTACATGCTAGCCAAATTGATAGCAGGTGCCCGCCGATCAGGGGTGGTGTAGGGAAGAAAGAGTTAAAGACATACTGTTTCTAAGAACAAAAATTAATCTCACCTGTCAAACCCACTTTTGAGCAATGTCCTAAAACATAATATGACGTGACGTAACACAAATGCGATGAGTACATGAGAATCCAATCATCCCATCGCGAGTAGGAGGCAGCCGATAGCAAGAAGCAAATTGGAAACTGCTGTGCACAATGGGTCACCGTAGTTTTCAGGCAGTTCCTCGTGTCTTGACATGACAACATTCAGGACAGGCAGGTGGGGTGAAACCAGAGAGTGACGTTCAGTTAACCCCTTGAGCATCCAAGTCTTGAGGCGAGCAGAGCTCAGTGGGGTGCACTGACCCATGCAGGAGATGGCAGCTCCTGGGGCTGCATAAAAGCACATGGGTACCAGTCCTGTAGGGACCAGGGAGGCTCCTTCTCCATCAGTGGCTGAGAAAGGAGTTGAGAGGTAATTTAGGTTCCTGTCCCATCCTAAGGCTCGCGAGGATGATGTGTCCTCCAACTCAAGGGTCTTGACAGAGAAATTCAAAATCAGAACCCGAACTGAAAATCCTGCACGTGTAGCTAGACCAAGCAGCTGGGACCCCGTGCCACCCAACATGGGGATAGTTGGCACATTGGAATTTATTTTATGGAAATATCTCTGTTTTGTTTTCTCCCATGTGTCTAAGCCTTAGAGAAACAGCTTGGGCTGTAGCTAAGTGTCCCCACCTGCCCGTCTCTCTTCAAAGGCTGTGGTCTGCACCCTGTCATGGGGGGTTGTGCCAGACCTAGTCCAGGATGGCTGCATCTCCAGATGGAAACAAAACTATTGCTGAATGTTCCCCCTTCCCCACAACCACTTCAGAGATGAAACCCTCTGAGTTCTTGGGCTTTATTTACAGACTTTAAACCGAGTGGGGAAAACCCAGAATGGGAAGGACAGGAGAGGCCAAGAGTGAGCACAGGCTTTCCTCCACATTGGCATGGGAGGGAGACAGGAAGCATAGCCCTGCCCTGCTTTCTCTGAATTTGCAATTCAGCAAATGTGCTCGGCCTTACCTGAAGGGAAAAAGTGTCAAGAGGTCCCACTTGCAAGCCTCCCCCACCTCCTCTCACGCGTGTGCTGAGTTTGGTGCATAGAGTTGGCTGTGGCCAATGTCCATCTGGTCTCTTCTACCCAGGGAGACTCACCTGCAGGGCAGGAGCAGCCCCAGCAGGGTCCACGGCCACACACTGCCTGTCACTGGGGTCATAAGGCTCATCCTGGGAGAATGGCTGAGCTCCACGTTTGGATTATTTCTGTAGGGGAGACAACTTAGCTAGCCGGCTAGGCTTAGGCACAGCTCTAGGTTTTGGCTTCGTTTCTTTAGAATCTCTTTGAAGTCCCAGATCTCTTTGGCATCCGACAGCTTCCTCCCAATTCCCTGGTGATTTGAACCTGAAAAAGAAAAAGAAGGAGGAGGAAGAGAGGGAAAAGGAAAAAATACCTGTCAATTAAAGGTTGTTGCCTTAAAACTAATCACAAAGAACTATGAGAACCAGAAGTAAGGAGAAATAAAAGTGAATTCTGAGTATTAATGATGGAATGAGTGCGTGACTGCCTCTGGCTCACCCCCATTTTGGACCAGGTGAATGGAGGCCCAGTATCCAGCAACATAGGTACCTGTTGGTATGGAGAGGCAGGAGACCAAGCTGACCTTGAATGCACAGTCCATGGGCACTGTATGAACAAATCCTGGAACCTCAGAGCCTCATAAACTGGGGTCTCCATCTTTTTAGAGACAGGGGAGAGAGAAATATGGGCCAAGGTGCCCTTGAGGGGCTCTTCTCTAGACAATGGTGAGGTGACATATCTTAATTGTCAACAGAGGCGCTGCTGTCAACACTCCCTATGACTTGTGCTGAGTATGAGGGGCTGACGGAGTGCCCTGCATAAATTACCTCCTTCAAGTCACACCATGATCATCATTTTTAGTTAAGTAGCTTGCTGAGGTCACAGGACCAGTGATGGGTGACTTGAACACAGAGGTTGGGACTCCAGAGCCTAGGTGCTGACAGTCCCTGTCTGCCCAGGGTAGTCGTAATGAAATTCCTCTTTGCCCTTCACCTTTCACTCATATCTACTTGCCACTTGGACCAAAGGGAGATTATTGCTTTCTCATGAAATGCCAAAGTTAAAGAGGAAATGGATGTCAGCACAGCCAACAGCATATCTCCCCACCAGTGAAAATGCTCGCTGCTTCTCCAGATTCTATCTTCCTTAAAAAGCCAAGGTCTCCTTCTAGCCAAGATCCAGAGTTGGATGCAGGGCTAGCAAGAAGGGCATTGGCCCCCTTTCAAACGCTCCTTTGGTCCCTCTCTAAGACCCAGAAAAAAGGAAGGGGCTGAGAAGTTTTAAATGACAAAGAAAGAGAAAGGTGAGAATGTGAGTCGGAATCTTACTGCCAGAGAGCTCTCCACCATTCTGCCTTATTTATCAGGCATTTACAGTTGATAAGTATAGATTGTCAGGATAATATTATACACTGTGTGTCTGATTCATTTTCCAGTTCCCTCCAGGAAAAAAAAAAAAAAAAGAACCCGCCTACACTCTGGGATAATTACTCGAGTTGCTATATCCCCAAATCATCGGGGAGTGTCCAGAATTGAACCGCCTTTATTGAAAAGTTACATCGATTCAATATATAGTAATACAGGCAAAAATAATTAAGGCTTTGCTAGCTGTGTAAGACCTTAATCCAGATCTCACAAACATTCAATAAAGCCTGTATGGGCAGGGAAATAGACGGCTGACAATTTTGCCTGAGAGGACTAGCCGGGATGGAGCAAAGGGGCAGCAGGAGGCAGAGAAATAGAGAGAGAGGGAAGAAGAGGAAAAATAAAAGAAAGAGTTGGCAGATTGGGCAAGAAGATTGTCCATCATTTCCCCCATCCGCTTAGTAGGCACCGCTCAACCAAATGCTCCTATGCAATTTGCTATTGTACATGGGAGAAATCATAGAATCAAATACTAGATTACATTTAGAAGTTTGGTTGCAGGGAAACCTATTCTGCCATTTTCCAAGAATGTGATGATTTAGGACTTGTCATGTCAAAGCCAAAACCAGAGGAATAGGTTTCCCTGGTGATTTTTTTTTTAACATCTTGCTTGTGCCACTTTATTTCCCAGGTCAAGGGGAAACCTGGGACTTGATTCCACCCAGACAGGTATCGGTAGCATCCTCTTGGCTAGATGGAGGAGGCCCTGGATATTGCACTTGGACAGGGCTTGAGGAGTGGGGACTGGGGGCACCCTGAGTTAGGAACTAAATTAAGTCTTCTATTCCAGTCACCAGCATCCAGAAGTGAATGGAGTCACACACCAGCAGTGAGCACCAAAGGAAAATGAGCTCCTTAAGGAAAAAACAAACAAACAATCAAAGCACTAAACAGGCGTAGTCTAGAATGGCTATAAAGCTATATCCCCAACCCTAAGACATGTAGGATGGATAGAAAGCTGGGTCTGCTGTAAGTCATGCCTAATAAGTCAACAGGCTCAACAGCTGGAGTTTCCCATTGAGGGAATTTGGAACAGTATCATCTGGAAATTATTTTAGTCTAATAATAAAAAATATAGCTCACATATATTGCATTTTGGTTTACATGTTTAGCATCTCATTTATACAACCCAGTAATATAAAGCAAAATGTGACACTTGGCCCTGTAAGAAAAACTCCACAGTGATCCCTTAAGGCTTCTGTCTGTTAGCCCAAACCTGGAGAAAAAGGGTTCACATACAGCCGAGGGCACCAGCTCCCTGGTTGGCTTCAGACTCTGTCATTCCCAGCCCCTGCTCTCTCTCTGTGCAAATAAGCTTACACATAAAAGCCTGCCAGTCTCATTCCTGTGCCACTCTCTCCTTGCAGCCATGACGGGACTTGTCGTGCCCCCCATGTAAAGAGGAGGAAGAACTGCTTTCTCATAGCACAAAACTACTTACTCTGATGGACCAATAATGAGGAAAGCACTCTGAGCTCTTTGGGGAGCGTTGTGCCCCCAGTGGACGTGATGGACAGATTTGGGAATGCAAGGAGCCACCATCTTACCTGGTCTCACGTGTCTCCTGTAGCTCTGATGGTAGCTACACAAACTGACCCTCTTGGGGACAAGGACAAAAGATGTCATTGACGTAGTCAGTGCTAAGAGCAGAAATGCAATTCTTTGTTATGAACATTATGAAAACCACCTTCCTATGTTTGTAAAATATTTAAGAAAAAAAATTGGCAAAACAATTCATGCTTAATATTTTGGATACTATTTGTTTTTCTTTGTAGGAAAAAAAAATGTTGAAAGTTTCTATTTTCTATGAAGCCTTTCAGATACCAATTTAGTTTATGCAGAAAAAAAAAATTGAACAAAACAGGGTACCAGCATGGAAGACTTTCTTAAAATGAAACCTGAATTGAATGATGAAATGTATGTGTGTTTGCTTATAGTTTAATCTCTTTAAAAAAAAACAAAAAAGGGAAAAAATTTTAAAATGTTTTACAATTATTTAAATAAATAAACGTGTAACTTATTGTAAGTAGAGGTAGAAATTAAGACCTTTTTTTTTCTGGAAGAGAGAAGAGTTTCTCTTTCTGATGTAAAATGAAGATGATGCAAACATGTAGTAACAAGTTTTAAAAGTGTGTGATTATTACTACAGTTACTTCCTAGACTCTTACCCTTCAGCCTGCATCCCCCTCTTTTTCCATCATTTTATTGACCCATGGCAAGAACATGTAACTTACATGGATTCCTACAGAATAACCCACTGCAAAAACCAAGACTCAAGTACATGCACTACACACACGCTCTAATGCTTCCTGTCATTCCCAGCTCCATCTGCTTTCTTAAGTGGTCTACACATCCCTTTTGGTATTCACCCTTTTGTGAATAGTTCCTTAAAATCCATCTGAGCTTTTAACATTCTCCCCTGAACAATGGAGAGAATCCCCTGTTCTCATATCTCTTGGAGCATCCCAAGGGAAGAAGCGTCTCACCTTCAAGAAGAGCCAAAGCCACAGACTTTGCTAACCAAGGGCCCCTTTGGAATTCTTCGTCCCCAGAGCCACACACTTCCTCCTCTTTGGTGGCCTGATACTCAGTACAGAGGCATAAAGCCCCACAGAAATTCAGAAACAGAGTTTGGAGATGATGACTCTTTCTTGAACTCTCAGGATCAGTCTAAGAGTGGCCAAGTCCTTGACTCTGTCTACAGATTTCCTCTTTTACGTTATTAAACTCTCTTGAAAAGAATATGTAATCCACTTGACACTGTTTTCAGATGAGAGTGGGATGAGATGTGGAAGAGAAATGTGAACATCCCTAAGCCTCTCTCCTGATGTTCAAAGCCATGGAAATCGGGATTCTTGGGAGATTCAGAGATCAGGGCCACCCGTGCTGTAAACAGTGCAGTGACTCTGCCCTGGATGGGCTCTTTGTAGTCCCGGGACTAGCTCTTAGGGAGGAAACCTTGCAGTAGCTGCTAAAAGAGGTAGGTTCTGGAAATCCCGAGTGGCCCTGGAGATGCGTCCAGGTGTGCTTGGATTGCTGACAATGCTGTATCATCTTTTCCACTTGGGGTTCTCTTTTTGACTCCCTGGCACCACAGTAGCATCTATACAAAGACTTAATTTTGGGTTCTTGGTTGAGGTTCTAACATTAGGAATTAATGCAGCTATCATGGAAAAACACCCTTAGGATATCTGAGCCAATTTTTAGATGACCTCTTTGCCCCCTCACGCCCAACCCCCGACATCTTGTTTGCCTTTAGCTCACTCTGGAATTATCCAGTATAACCTATACTTTTTCTATGCACATTGAGAATCCAAGGTTTTGGAAGTGTGGCATGCTTATAACTGCTGCTGACAGGCCTCGCAGTCAGGGCTCCAAGCGCCAAAACACACGGAAACATAGGAGAAAACGTTCCCCAGCGAAAAATTCGAGGGAAGGGGAAGAATGTATGGAAGACAAACATTACCATCCAAAAGTGAAGGCAGAACAAATTTAAGCATGTTCGGACCTGGATTTGAGCCAATCCAACATAAGGAAATGTTTTTTTTAAGTAGCATTGCTTTTAGAACCTGTGAATCTTGCTCCTGCATGAAGATGAGTACAGTACTGTCTTCAAAATGATTGTAGAATTGTTGGTAGCTTTACACGGAAAAATGTGTAACTAAATACCTGACATCCTTGACCATTCAGCTAGAACCTTGGCAGCAACAGGTCTATTTAATTGTACAAATGTGTGTAAGGATTATTTTTAGTGTACTAATAAATTAAAAACAGAGCTACACTGTCCTCCTTCATTATTGTTATTGAATCATCCGGTCCCAGGTTATTTTTGTGCCACTTGGAATATGAGTATTTCTATAGGTAACTACAAAATTCTAACCTATCTTGATGAGAGGAGCTGTGTACGATTTTTTTTTCATTTAAAGGGACAATTTACTTCCTTATTTATCTCATGTTTTTGTTAGAGCATCGAAATTCTTCCCAGTTTTTCTTTGCACATTTCAATATGCATGGTTTAACAACCATTATCTTCTCTACCTTTTGTACAGTATGGCTTCATTTTCAAACTGTATAGTTTTACTTTATTGTTTTGCTTTGTCAGTTATATACAGCATAAAGTTGCTATGCACAGAGCTTTTTGTAAAGACGGCTTTTTTGTTTACTGTTTTTAATGGTCTTACTTATGAAAGAATATCTTGTTTGTAAAATGAATATGTCTACTTCAGTTTTAAACTTTAAATTATCCTAACAAAAAAAATAAAATTTTTGTACTGTAAAAATTGGACTTTGGCTTTGTTTCCTTTTTTTTGTTTTGTTTATTTAAGAGAAATTTAATTTGGGATTTGTTCTTGACTTGCGGGGGGGTGTTCCTTATAACTGCTGGTCTCTTGAATTTTCCTTGAGGAAAAAAATTTTTTTTTAGAGAGAGAGAGAGAGAGAGAGAGAGAGAGAGAATTTTTTAATATTTATTTTTTAGTTCTCGGTGGACACAACATCTTTGTTTGTATGTGGTGCTGAGGATCGAACCCGGGCCGCATGCATGCCAGGCGAGCGCGCTACCGCTTGAGCCACATCCCCAGCCCTTGAGGAAATTTTTTTTTTTATTGGTTGTTCAAAACATTACAAAGCTCTTGACATATCATATTTCATATATTAGATTCAAGTTGCTTTTATCTATGAGGAAAGTGCACTGTGGTGCTTACCTGGAGGAGAGCTTTTGAATGACTTTGTCAATTCTCTGTATTTATCTAGATTCATCTGGTCAAATTCTTCCATAAAAACCCCTGAACTCCAAAGACCCCCTTTGCCCTGTTGGCTGTTGGCTCTTGGAGTTCTTAAGCACCTGGGCCATCTACTTAAAGCTGCTGAACACATGCTATAAGCTGATCCTTAGACATGGGTGGAGAACTGGAGGGGACGGACTCGTTGCCTGTTCTCAAATTTAGGAAAGGGGCGTAGCAGGTGCCCACGGAAGGAAGGGATGCATAGGGGACAGCTCAACGGGAAGACTCAGGGGCTGAAGCCATCACAGAGGGCTGCAGTGGTCAGAGGGGTGTCCATGGAGGAGGCTGAGCTGCTCAGGGCCACCCAAAGGACCGGTATTTGGTGGCAGTGACTGTCCCAGGTGGGAAGGACAACCTGAGCGGGGGCGTGTAAAGGGAACTGCACAAAACGCACTTAGAGTCATTTGATCCTAAATGTGATTTTCAACCAGAATATTCACAGGTTTAAATGGATTGGCGCATTTCTCCCCATGAGGCTCAGAGACCTTCAAACCCCACACATCACCTTCCTTATGTAAGTGAACGAGCTGTGTTTCCAAACGGGGACAACTTTTATCTATGTGGAGGGCTTTCGCTCCTCCCTGAAGACTGGCTCCTCCTCCCCCAGAGGTCAGCAAGGCTGGTAGGTGTCCCCCTTTGGGCCTGGTGGGCTGTCCCCCTTCAGGCCTGGTCCAGGGTCGGCTTCCCAGGGGCCTTTTGCTGACCTCCTTGGTCTCTGTAGCTGGATGTCCGTGTCCTGGTCATCATCTGTATCATTTGTTTGGTTCTCCGTCGGTTCTGCCCCTTTACACAGGAGGCCCAGCAGCACAGGGACTGCACCATCTCGGTGCTGGGTGGAAACCTGAGCCCGGTGCCTGAGTTCTCTGCAGCCCCTGGAGAGGAGTGAGCGAGCAGGTTTGGTGCCAACCCCCGGGTGCCGTCCCTAATCTGTCTCAAATGGCATCACTCTCAGAATTACTTCTTAGGGACCTCCGCGTCAGTCACTCATCAGACATATTGTGAAGTTTGTCTACAGTGTAATGTGACTGCTGCTTACTGAACAGGGGAGCCGGCACAGGAGGGAGGTGAAGAAACGCTCTGGCTCAGCCCTGGGGCAGGTTGCTTGGCCCCTGGGCTTTGGAACTTAACCCATGTAGGTTCCCTTGCTGAGATCTAACTCCAGAACCAGAACTGAGCCTCTTAGGAAGGAGTCCATCGGGCCATTCCAGTTCCAGATAACTTGTCAACCACCCACTTGAATCTCAAAGGGCTTACGGTACATGCACCGGCACCAAGAGGTTCTGAGTGGCTGTGGGGCGTTCGTGGGAAGGTGCTGAGACTCAGAACTTCAAGAATTAATGGAGACTAAGTTCCAAAGCACCTGGTTCACCAGGCCAAGAAGTTTACTTTCTCCATAGGCCTGCTCTGCAGATAACGGAAGGCTACTAAAGGAACCTGGGTCCAGGAGTGACTCTGTCCACTTGGTGCTGGAGAAGAATCATAGGAACTCCAGTGTGGGTCATGGATCGGAGTAGTGGGTATGGAGGCAGGGATGGAAAGTGGATTAGCCCGTGTGCTGAACCACTGGGATGAATGGCTTCTGATTGGACAGCTCAGCTATCATACCAATTTCTCCTGCCCTTAGGGGACTATTGCAGTAGCCTAGACAGGAATGTCTCCTTCCTGAATTATGGCTTGGCCATAGAAATGGAAAGTAGGAGGAGGATCGAAGAGACCTTCTGGGCTGTGTGTGGTGGCACACGCCTGTAATCCCAGTGACTCGGGAGGCTAAGGCAGGAGGATCACATCTAGAATCACTCCCAATTTATAGATTAGATAGATTTTGTGATATCCTGAACCCAAGCCTCAAGCACAAAGAGACCAGGCTGATAGGGAATGAAGTACACAATGATTTTAAATTGGGACAAACCTGCTACCATTTGTCAGTTCCTTTCTTGGTTATATGAAGAGATTATTTCTCATTAGTTTTTCAAACAGGATTAAGGAGAATTCTGTTCCTTGTCTTATGCATATAAAAATTGATTGCATACTCTCTCAATCTCTTTTTTTTATATTAGGGACTGAACCCAGGAGCTACACATCCTTAATGTACCACTGAGCTACATCCCCAGCCTCTTTTATGCTTTATTTGGACACGGGGTCTCACGAGCTAAGCCCAGGCTGGCCTCCAATGTGAGATCCTCAGGCCTCAGCCTCCAGAATCCCTGGTGTATTACAGGTGTGTGGGGACCACACCCAGCTAATTGCTCTGTTTCTATTTCAATATCTGTTTGGCTGAATGTAGAATTTCTGGGCTTACACTTGCTTTGAGGAACTCATAGGAGTGTGGTTGGTTTGGTTTGTGCTTTTTGCTGTCACCTAGTATTCGTGTTGCTATGGAGATGTCTGAAGCCATGCCCCACCTTCCTCCTTCCCTTCTAGTATTCCTCTTATACACCTAAGACCATCCTAGAATTTATTGTACAAATTGTGCTGGTTTTGAGAGTGAAGAAGGGTACAATAAATTATTATGTCAGCTGGGACTCTCCCAGGGTCACTCTGCTCACACGTGATGTGCTTCTTTCTTGTCTGCTGGCCCAAAGGACTCTTCTCTGCATTGGAAGCACAGTAACCTCCCCTGGACATTGCTCGGTGTTGATTGTTTTCTGTCGCCCCATGCCCTCCCCTCCATTGACCCTGGGATACAACTTTCCCTTTCAACGTACAGATTAAAGTCTTTTTTTTTTTCATTTCTGGAAAGTTTTCTTTAATCATAACATCAAAATACACCCTCTGGTCCTTCATTCTGGTTCTTGGGAGGGGCTCTGGTGGTTCCTCTCCCCATTGGCATCTACCTCATCTTCTAAGTGCTGCTTTAAAAAAAAACAAACTTGGGCTGGGGATGTGGCTCAAGCGGTAGCACGCTCGCCTGGCATGCGTGCGGCCCGGGTTCGATCCTCAGCACCACATACAAAGATGTTGTGTCTGCCGAGAACTTAAATAAATAAATATTTTTTTAAAAAAAAAAAAAAAAAAAAAAAAAAAAAAAAAAAAAAAACAAACTTTTAGCTGCAGATGGATGCAAAACCTTTATTTTATTTGTTCATGTGGTGCTGAGGATGGAACCCAGCACCCCATGCATGCGAGGGAGCACTCCACCACTGGGTACACTATGTACCCTCTACTGTCATGTAAATCTAAAAGAACAAATAAAAAATTTAATTAAAAAAATAAAATAGCTGTAAACATACTGTACATACATGGAGTATAACTTATTCTAACTGGGATCCCATTCTTGTGGTTATACATGATGTGGAGTTTCACTGATCACATATTCATATATGAACATAGAAAAGTGATGTCCCATTCATTCTACTGTCTCTCCTATTCCCATTCCTCCCTCTTCCCCTCACTCTCCTTTGTCTAAACCAATGAACTTCTGTTCTTCCCTCTCACACCCTTATTAGCATCTGCATCTGCATATCAGAGAGAACATTTAGCCTTTGGTTTTAGGGGATCGGCTTATTTCACTTAGCATGATAGTTTCCAGTTCCATCCATGTACTGGCAAATGTCATAATTTCATTCTTCTTTATGGCTGAGTAACATTCCATTGGTGTGTGTGTGTGTATGTGTGTGCGTATGTGTGTGTGTGTGTGTATAAAATTTTCTTTATCCACTCATCTGTTGAACGGCACCTAGTTTGGTTCCATAGTTTAACTATTGTGAATTGAGCTGCTAAGAACATTGATGTGGCCACATCACTATAATATGCTGATTTTAAGTCCTGAGGAGTGGGATAACTGAGTCAAATGGTGGTTCTATTCCAAGTTTCCTGAGGAATATCCATACTGCTTTCCAGAGTGATTACACCAATTTGCAGTCCTACCAGCAATATATGAGTGTACCTTTGCCGTTCTGACAGAGTGAGATAAAATCTCAGTGTAGTTTTAATTTGCATTTCTCTAATTGCCAGAGATGTTAGATATTTTTTTCATATATTGGTTGACCGATCATATTTCTTCTTCTGTGAAGTGTCTGCTCAGTTCCTTTGCACATTTATTGATTGTGTTATTTGTCTTTTTGGTGTTAAGTTTTTTGAATTCTTTATATATCCTGGAGATGAATGCTCCATGTGAGCTGCAGGTGGCAAAGATTTGCTCCCCTTCTGTAGGCTCTCTCTTCATGTTCTTGATTGTTTCCTTTGCTGTGAGAAAGCTTTTTAGTTGATACCATTCCACTTATAGGTTCTTGATTTTACTTCTTGCACTTTAGAGTCTTGTTGAGGAATGTGGTTCCTAAGCCGACATCATGTAGATTTGGGCCTACTTTTTCTTCTAGTAGGTGCAGAGTCTCTGGCTTAATTCCTAGGTCCTTGATCCACTTTGAGTTGAGTTTGTGCAGGGTGAGATATAGGGGTCTAATTTCATTTTGTTACATGTGGATTTCCAGTTTTCCCAGCACCATTTGTTGAAGAGGCTGTCTTTTCTCCAATGTATGTTTATGGTGCC